TTCAAAAATGATGGCTCTAAAGTACCAGACATCCATACTGAAAAAGAGAACCTCAGCCCTTACACTATAAAATTTAACCCAAATATATAAAACATGAATCTAAAACTTCCAGAAGTAAATATATGAAGTAGTCTGTTACTTTGGGGTATACAATGGTTTCTTAGAACAGAAAAAGCACAAATCATAAAAATCAATAAAATGGACTTCAAAATTCAAAACTTTTGCTCTTGGAAGATACTGATAAGAAAACAGGAAGTAAATCTCAAACTTGGAGGAAATATTTGCAATATGTGTATCATAAAGAACTTGTAACCAGAATATTTTTTTAATTTTTAGTAATAAAAAAAAAACTGCAGAAAAGAATTAACACAGAGATCTGAGGTTACTATCCTTGGTAAGGCCTGCTTACAAATTGGCCCTTGGCTGGCATCTGGGAATCTCAGAGCTTTCCTAGTCAAACAGTTAAGGAGCAATAAGGGTTCTTACTGTGCCTAGACTATTGGTACAAAACACATGGTCTATGATGAATACCTGCTTTCCTTCTGGCAATCTGGAATTTTTGTACATACTAGGCGAAAGATACTAGCCCACACTAAAAACCTCAGATGTGAGTCGCTTAGTGGGCTCCCAGGGACATAAACATGCATATGTGCTACCACATTTTCACTGCTGGGTAAGAATGCACTGTGTGACCCCCGCCTTGTGATGGAAACAGAGTATGGAAGCCTGCAGCATGGATTCCTCCAGAAGACACCTGTGTATTTTTCCCTGTGCTCAGTCTATGTATACTTACTACACACTGCTGTAACAAATCATAGCTGTGATCATAAGTACACACTGAGTTTCATGAGATCTAGTAGATCTCTGAATGTGGGGGTGGTCTTGAGGAAAAGTAAAAAAATTATCTGAATAGGCAAATCACTAAAGAAGATGTATAAACATCAGTAACCACATAAGAAAATATAATCATCAGTCATGAAAATGCAAGTGAAAAGGGTAAGATTCCACTACATACCCATGAAAATGGATAAAATTATAAAGACTAATCATACTAACTGCTGACAAGAATGCAAAGGAATGGGAACTCTCACACCCTGCTGGGAAGTATACAAAACGATGCAAGCACTTTAGAAAACAGTTTGATAGTTTCTTAAAGAATTGTTGCAAATCCTATGACCCAAACATTCTACTAGTAGGTACTTACTCAGGAGAAATGAAAACACATCCACAAAAAAAACTTGTAAGCTAACATTGATAGCAGCTTTCCTTACACAGCTGGAAACAACCCATATTCCCATTAAACATTTTAAGATAAATTGTGATTTATCCATACCACAGAATACTAACCAATAAAAAAAAACTACTGATACGTGAAACACAGATTATATGTATGCTGAGTGAAAGAAATGAGGCAAAAAATAAATATACTATGAGATTCCATTTATATTAATTTCATGAAGTTGTAAATTAATCTGTAGTGTCAATGGCTGCCAGTGGAAAGGGGTGGAAGGTAGACGGGAGTTCAGAAACTTTTGGGGGTGACAGAAATGTTCACCTGAACTCACTGAAACCTTGAACTCATCATATTTTTAAAATGTACCTTTTGTTGTACATCAATCACACCTCAGCTAAGTTGGAGGGGGAAACATTATGGGGAAAAGAAAAGGTAAGAAAAAAAGATAAAAAGTAAATGAGTAAACTATTATCCAAATTAATCTACTTCATGCCCTGAGATTTCCACTTGCGAATCCATAAGGTATGGATGGGACTACAGGCCTGCCACACACTGGTCAGTTTTCCAGACCCCTGGGTCAACACCTGACCCAGCATGCCCTCTGCCTGACATACAAGTGCAGGCCTCAGCCCCAACAGCCCACACTGTGCAGTGCACTGAGCTTCAACCAGTCATGCTGGATCACCTGGGCTCACAGCCCTTGCAGGTGAATTCAAAGGGCCATAAACATAAGCTAACTGTCCAGATTTTTCAGAGACATCCTTTTTTCTAAAGAAATCTGTTTTACTCACAGATATGTGGCTGAACAGTCAGCGGGACTATCCCATTTTGATTCAATCTGTTTTTTTCCTGTTTGCAATTACTTCCTCTAGGGCTCACAACACAAAATACATTTGATTCCATTCATACACTATTCAAAGATAAGCAAAACTACATTATTTTGTTATAAAACTACAGATGCATGCTTTTGTTCAGAGATACACTAATTTGTTCACAGATGCATACAAACATGGTACGACATACAAAGAAAAGTGAAGGAAAGACAACAGGTGGGGAAGTGTGCACTAGGGGAGAATACACGGGAGTTTCTGGGCTGCTGTTAATGCTTCTGGGCTGTGGTCACATGGGTGTTCTCTCTGTACCTATGTCAACATTTGTTTTACTCATTTTTGGCCTATTTTACAGTAAGAGGTTGTAAAGAAATGAAACTAAATCATTGCTCCACAAAGTAAATGCCCCACACCATTTCACTTAAATGACTCCTATTCCACTTAATCAGAGTTGTAGGCTCCAAATGCAATGGGCTAACTTCTAACACATTCCCAACACTGATGCTCTTCTTTCTAAGTCCCAAGTCCCCAAAGATAGTCTCCCCACTCTGAAAGTCAGAGAATGGCAGAGTGTAAGCAAGGGCACAGCCGCAAATCATTAAATGACTATTAATTTTTTTAAGTGTGAAGTTGAAAATGTTGAACATCTCATGAACATATTTAGCATCTTCAGCTACTTTAGGCTGATGTGACCTAGTAGTCATATAGGTCTTAGAGCTTTGTTGTTTTTAAACACAGATGCTTATAATTTACTTCAGAAGGAAGAACACAAAGCTGGCTCTAGCCTATCATTACAATTATCTTATATATTTGTATTTATAAGCCCCAAAGGGATTATGGAAAAATGAGAGCTGAGAGCTTTTACTTGTGGTGTAGGCAAGAACACTTTTTCCTTCTGTTTCAATTCTTCTTATTTGCCTACACAACATATTTTTGGCCTTATGAAATACTTCCTGTCCCCCAAATCTTTCTAAGGTCTTACTTAGCATTGGATAGAACATACCCTGTTACTCCAGCTGTTTTAATATTCAGTATGACTCAGTATGTAAAGTTCCACTTTGATTAAAAAAAAAAAGGCAGCCAAAACATTGAATTCATACCAGCTATTGTTTGCTCAGGAAAAAATAATTTTAAAGGTAAACAGCTTATGCATTTCACTAAAACAGTTCTTTGTCTCTAACCCAGTTTTGTTTTATACCCTTACACATGATATGAATCCCTTTCATTTGGGAAAATACTAAACACTATTTTGAAAGGAAGAGAAGTACATTTGGTCCTACTGGCACTAAGTTAGGAATTATTTTTAATTACCTAAAAATATTCTTCCCTCCTCTTTAAAATCTGGGGGAAAAAATGATTTAATTCGCAGGAGCTAAATATCCCACAAATAATGCCCCCTGTAAATATGCCCCCTATTTTTTGAGACATTCATACAATCCTGATTAGGAATAGCAATCTAATATGAATCGCATTATATAAAACTTTATAAAAGGTTACATATAAATTTATTCTAAACGATGTTACATTGGATAAAGTGCAACCTATATGTATTATATTACAGTATTTCAAATGATGAAAACTTAAACCAGTTCCTGATTTAATAATTCAAATCTGGTTCATAATATAAAAACAGGAAATAAACACTCAAGTATTAGAGGTAAAGGAACATGACACTTTCAAATGATTCAGAAGAAAACTTACAACCACAAAAAAAGAGAATGTCATTAACAGATGTGGTAAGATGTTAACAACTGGGGATTCTGAACGAAGGGAAAATGAAAGCTCTTTGTAGTAATCCTATAAACTTTTATTCTGAATTATTTTAAATTTACCTAAGTTACCCAAAAAACCCTCATGGTTTAAAAAATGAAATATACTGATTGTTCAGTTGAGTAGCTCCCATTAGTAAAAATGAGCAATGTACCTACAATATCTAAAAATTTATTTACTACAATGCTTTTACATATATAGAAATTACACATTAGAAAGTAGGTATTTGGAAAAGATTGGTCAAAAAATAAGTCAAAATAAAAGGAATGCTCTTGCTCTACAACCCTGAATTCAACTAATACCCAGTAATTCCCAAATGTTTTTCTCTAATCCAGCCTCTTCTATACGACCACAAATCTCATTTCCTATTACCTACAGGATTCCTAAACCTGAGATGCCTATAGGAGAGCCAACCTTAACACAGTGAAACTTAATTGAGTACCTTTCTCCAGAAGCTTACTTTTACTCTGGCTTTTTCTTAGTGCTACAGGTATTTAACTGCCTGGTCATCCTTGTAAATTCTTTATTACAGCCACACAATCCCCCCTCCCCTAAAAAAACCAACCAAAACAAAAGCAAAACCCACAAAGTTCTAAACCCTTAAACTCTTTCCTTTTTCTATCCTCTTCAAATCCACTGCTTCCTCCACGGGCCATCATCACAACTCACCTTGATTGAAGAGAGCAGCTTCTTCATGGCAAACTAGCTTTCAAAGCCTCCCATCTCAGGAGCTTCCAATCCATTCTCCCCACTGAAGCCTGCAGGAATATTCTACAGCACAAAACTGACTAAGCCTTCTGTCTTTCTCGCTGTGGTTTCCTATCATGGTTAAGATAGAAGCCTTACTTCTAGCCATATGAACTGAATCAGGCCTAAAAATGAAGGTGACTTAGTATGGTAAAGAGTTCACGAAAACTAGGACATGGTAAAATGTTAACAGTAAGTCTATGTAATAACTGTTGTGATGTCTAATGCAAACAGTAAATGACTCCTGAAAGAGAAACTTCCTACAATTAAAAAGTAATACCCTGTAGCTAAAAATTCTGCTGCGGCTGCTTCATTTCTTATTCCACGGCATAACAGCAGCAAGAGCAAACGCTGCAGGCTGCACCCAAGAGCACAGAAACTGAAGATGGCCCAGTGTTATGACAAGTCGCTGTACTTACGGGGAGTTTGGTGAAGGCCGGGTTTGTGACATGCTTCCCAAAGGCATCTTCTTGAAACTGGAGAAGCTGCACCACCAGCCCAGCCAGCGTTTTATTGGTAGGAGCATCAGCGTGAACATACTGCAAGATAAAGGCAGTGACTCAAAAACTGGAACAATTGTGCATTAGAGAATGTTAGCTTACTTCCTCATTATCTACAAAGCACTGGCAAGGTGGCAGATTTACAGGTATCTGAGACAGTCTCTCTGCTGTAAAGGGCCTTACAAAAAACAAATACTGGGGGCAGCAGGGGGGCACAAATTGTCTCTTTAGTTAACAGATCATGAGAACAAGAGAAGCCATGCCCAAAAAACAAACTTTAGTCATCTCATCTGCACTTGGACTTAAATTTGATGGTGAGATCCTGAACCTCAAACTTAAGCCTGATGCTAAAATAGGATGAGATCCATTGGTGAATGTATTTTGTATATAGCATGAATATAAATAATTTGTGGCCAGAAAGCAGAATGTATTGTTTTTAAAGCAGGTGCACAATTTATTTGATACCCCTAAGTAAGAGATGGGAACTAGGCCCTCTTCTACTGAATCACCATCATCCTTAGTGACTCACTAGTAACCATTAGAATGCATGGGAAGTGATGCTGTGTGGCTTCTGAGGATAACTTTAAAAAAGGTAGTATCAGACTTTTTGGGGACACTCACCTTTGGAGTCCTGAGCTACAAAGTCCGACTACCCTGAGGTCACCACACTTAGAGGAAGCCCTGCTCCAGGGACAGACCACATGGAGATGCCACAGCTAGCAGATACAGCTGTCGTTGCTAGATTGACAGCACAACCACCACAAACGTTAAGTAAAGATGTTTCCAGATGACTCAGATCCCCAGATGTCAGGTCACCCCCCCCAATCATCAAATCTCCCCAGTAAAGGCCTGAGACATCACTGAGCAGGGACAATGGTGATTCCCCACTGTGCCCTCCAAATTCCTGAAACTTTGAGAATAATAAAATGATTTTCATGCATTAAAAAAAAAACACGTTAGGTTGGTAAATTGTCATGTTTTTACAAAAAAAATTTTTAAACAAGTATATATGTGAAGTTACCCATGTTGACGTTGCTACTGTCTTCTAAACCAGTAGTAGACAGCAAGCTAGCTTTGCAACAAGAACAGATAATAAGTAAAGCATAAATTAGTGAGTTAAATTAAACCTAAAACTTTAAATTCGTATTACGTGTTCAACATCACTTTGAGCAGCCAATACATTCAATAAGCTTTCTTTTTTAAACCTCCAATTTTGAGCAGGTTTTCAAATCAACTTTAAGAAATTTCAAAATAGTAGCCTTCTGTCTAACCAGTAACAAAGAAGCAGGCTGACCATGGGATATATGACCAAAGTATCACTACCATGAAAAATTATATCATCTCATCTTCAATAACTATCTCACCTGATTTGAGTAACAGTCCTATGGGAATCACATCCTACTTTCAACTACAAATGAAAAACCAAACACAGAAATTCACTGCTCAAGGACACCACCAATTCCCATCTAAGAGCACTGAACTCGCATCTTCCAACCAAACTCAATGCTCATCCCACTACCTCACACAGAGATAAGAGAGTTCAGTTCAAATGCTTCCAAAAATATCACCTAAAACAAAATGTTCTTAACAACTTTCAAAATACTGAATCCTGATTTAGGAAAAAATTTAATGGTTATATAGACTATTTTAGACATAAATTTTATCTTTTCATTAAAAAAAAAAACAAAAACCAGCATGTTTTACTTAAGACAACAAAAATTTTTTGGTCTCGAAGTACTTTGATAAAGTTTAGAAGGTATATTTAGAAAGTTTCATCAATAAATCTGTTTTATATTACCTAAGGCATAAAGTATCAAAAGTTTAGCTTGTCCCTAAACAATCCCATGCAGCAGCAAATGTCCCATTAAATAAATATCTTTAATTGCTAAAGACTCTATATAAAGAGCACTGAAATGCCTTCCTTACGCAATCTAGTCTGTTTTAGTGATCACCCTTAAAACTAAATCATATTGAAATCTGAGATTTTATTTCAGTAATAAGCCAAACCTGAGGAAGAAACCTAAAAGAAAAATTAATGATTTACAGATAAACTTCACCCCTAAGGTATGTGAACTGCGGCTATTTAAGATCAGTTAAGGCTTATCACCTGAAAACCACTCAGACACCGTGGACAGAAATACAGCTCATTCATCTTTAGGTCAAGATCAAAGACATGCACACGACAATACAAAGAAGGCAGCTTGGGGAGGACGTGGACAAGCTTCTGCACTGCTGCTAGATTTAAACAACCTCAAGCAGAAACAGTCAACCTCTCCGTGCTTCAGTTTCCTCGTACCTACACTGGTTACCTCCTGGGGACTCTCTGGTACAGATAAAAGCTCATCCTAGGCACAAAGTACTCACTCTCCCTTCTGTGTTGCTGAGCCAAATTCATAAACAAAGCCTAAATGAACAGGCTCCAAGATTAATCTATTCATTCACTGAACAAATATTTACTGAGCACCTACTATGGGCATTCAGAAACAAAAACAATACAAGGAATTCCTCTTGTAATTTTAAATCACCTGGGTTTTAAGGTAGGTATCTATGTCCATCTTGTCTTTTATGTTGTGAGTTCCTTGAAGAGAAGAAGCACAGTGAGCAAACTGAGGTTTTGGAGCCAGGCACAGCAAATCCGCCACTGACTGTGACCTTAGAGAAGTTACTAAAGTACAGAGCCTCAAGTTCCTGTCATGTGTAAAATGAAGGAAATAGTATCTATCTTTCAGGACTGCTGTAAGGGTTTAAGTGAGCTGGGCTGAACTGGAGACATGTCAGATGCTCAGTTGTTCACCGGATGCACTGATACATTCCTCATTAAACACAAGACTACCAATGTCATATTTATTTCACACAGTCGCTCAGACTTTTCAACCTGGAAATGCAGTATTAAATGCAATAGAAAACTTTAGTTAAAAAAACATCCATGTGTACAAGTAGCTATACTGGTTGCAAAAGCAGCATAGAACCTTCTGGTTAATACATTTACCGCCTCAACACCACTCTCAGGGGCTGACAGGATTCTGGCTGTCTGGCCTAAGAGATACACAATTTTGAATCTGAGCAGGTTCAAGAAATAGACTCTGGCTTTATGAAACTGAGAAGTCAAAGCTAACTTCGACTTTGTCTTTAAGGCCTGAAGGACAAGCAGCCAACATTGGCCCAACGGCCTCAAACCTGTGGGACAGATCGTCAGCCGGCTTCAAGGCCACTTCCTCGCCCCTTCAAACAACCTCTAAAGGATTTTTCAAGTCGAATGCTGCCCTCTTAAAATTGGGCCCAAACAATTGCACACGGGATTTTGGAGAGGTATAAATAATAGCATTTCCCCTTTTCCTTTCTCTACCTTGGCAGCCAAAAGAATACGCCTCTTGAGTATTCTTCTTCCTTAAAGCTCCACAAACTAATACAGTGTTATATGTCAGTTATGTCTCAGTAAACCTGGGGGATAAAAACCGAAACTGGAGAGAGAAAAAAAAGCCACATTAAGGAGCCCTTAACATAAAACCCCAAGCAATGGCTGAAGAGCACACGTAAAACAATAGTGCTTTCGCGATATATTCGATTCTTAGCCACTTCTAGCTCTATTGCCTACACAAAAAGGTGAGCAATTTACCACTGCTTAAGGGAGAGCAACGTTCTTCTGTTTGCGTGTGGATGAGTAAAACCAATCGCAAAGGAACCCAAAATTCCAGAGTCGTAAACAAAGAGCATCCAAATCACACTGCAAATCAAACGGTTTTCTCCCACGTCCGAGCACTTGAGCGAACCGTCACTTCCCGGGCGCCGCCGAGCAGCGGCCAAGAGCCGAGGGGCCCTGCCGCGCCTAACCGCTCGCGCGGCCTGACCCACTGGGTGCGCCGCAGACCCCGCCGCGGGGGCGGGTTCCGGGGCCCCTTCATCTTCCCAGTCGCCCGCCAGACACGCGCCGAGCAACTACCGGGGGGGCCGGCGGCGCGCGGTCCGCAGGCCTGGGGCGGCGGGAGCTTCGGGGGCCCGCGTCCCCCCGCCTCTGGGCGGCTCTCCGGAGCGTCTGCCGGAGGGGAGGCGGGCATTGGTCACAAACCGCGGTTGAAGGCACAACTTTCGACACCACGGATTCCGCGGCACCTCCCGCGGCAGAAGCCGCCGCTAGATAAGATGACCTCAGAAGGGACACGAAGAAAGGCACGGCGACGGGAGGGGGCGGCCCCTCAGCGCCGTTCCCGGGAAGGCGCGGAAACGTCCGCGACCCAGCTCCGCGCGGCCCCGGCGCCCCTCCGCTCCACGCGGGCGCAGGCCGCCGCCGGCCCGCCAGAGGCAGCCTAGTCGCCCCCCACGGCCTGAGCTGCTCGCAGAGCCCGGCTCCGGCGGCGGGGACGGCCATGTCCGCACACCTCCGCGGCAAACAAAGGAGAGCGCGCCCCGCTCCCGGAGTCGCCCAGCTGCACCGCCCCCGCGCGCCGGGGTGAGCGGGGATCCGCCGAGCGGGCCCCCCCGGGGCCGCCGCGGTCCAGGAGGCGGCGCCGGGCTCCGGAGGGCCCGGGGGGCGTGGCGGCCCCGACGCCGGCCTTTGTCGTCCCTCATGGCGGGGGGAGGGGCGCCCGAGCCCGCCAGGCCGGCAGCCGCCCCGGCCCCGTCTCGCGGCCCCCGGCCCCCGGCCCCGCGGCGCGCGAACCCACCTTCTTGTAGTGCTTGCCCAGCCAGACCCGCACCGAATCCAGCTGGGACACCGTCTCCGGGCTCTCCCAGAACTTGCAGGCCGGGCCCCCGTCCTTCCGCCGGTAGACGGCCAGGCCCGCGGCAGCCGCCGCCGCGCCTCCCGCACCCGCCGTAGCCCCCAGCCCGCCGCCGCCTGCCGCCGTGGCCATCGTCGCAGTCCGCCCGCCCGCCGCAGGGCCCGCTCGGTCCTCGCTGCAGCCCCGTTCGCCACAGCGCGCGCGCAGCTGCCGCCGCCCCCGCCGAGCAGCCCCCTTCCGGCGCGGATGCCCCGCCCAGCAGCACCTTCCGGCAGGAGCCCTGCCCCTTCCGGTGGTGGGCGGCGGCGGAGACGGCGGACCTGCGGGCTGCTCGGGGAGGCTTCTGGCGGCTGAGGGCACCCCTGCCGGCCCGCGAACGCCCGCCCTCGGCCTCGGAAACGTCCCTATGGGGCTCTTCAGCCCCTCCGCCCCTGGGCGGCGCCTCTCTCCGAGGGCCCCGTACCTCCGCTGATCATGCTCCGCTCTCTGCGGAACTCCCGCCACGACCTGGCACCTTTCTTTCTTTCTGGCCTTCCACATAAATTACGCGAGAACCAAGTGTCGACTGGCTCATAGCTGAACCCTCAGTGCTGGGAACAGGGCCGTATTCAACAAATATTTGATGAGTGCATGACTGACCTACAGAGAGGCAGGAAGGTTTCAAATTATGAACAAAGTAAGGTTGGCCATAGTGGCATATGCTATACGACCCCAGAACAACAGGTGACTAAATGCTTGGGAGGAAGCCTGGTTGGTTTTCGGGACCACCTTTCAAGAATGAATAAATTGTGATTACAAACGACATTTCAGACACACGGAAAGAAGTGGATCAAAGGAGTTAAAGTGTGAAAGCACGCGCAGTGAAGCTCCTTCAGCCCTCGGGGGGAAGCAGAGATGTTACTAATTGTGACCGTGAGTTTTTGACATCCTGTAAGCATTGGGAAACTAGCTTGAACAGAGAGAATGACGTGGTCGTATTTATAGATTAGGAAGGCAACAATTGCAAAGGTACCTGATAGAGGAAGAAAAGAGAAAAGATGACCTGATAAGCAGTCTAGAACAGGAACGAGAAGAAAACAATAAAATACGAGTGAGAAGCTGTTTATGCACTCTAAGAGCCCAGACTAGATACAATGATACCAGCTGGTGTGTATGGCGTACTAATGAGCTGTGCTCTGTGCTAAGTATGCCTACATTACTGCAAATCAGGAAATTGCAGAAACGTCAAGTAATAACTAGCTACCAAGTATTAGAGTCAGGCTTTTGAACCCAGGAATTAGAACCTGGAGTGCTACTTCCCCCTCTCCAAGTACAACATGTTTTCTATTAATAACATGTGAAGGGTCTTGAAGAATTATTTGTACACCCACGTTCCTAGTAGCATTATTCACAGTAACCAAAAGGTGGAATCAACCCCAGGGTCCACTGCCGGATGGATGGGTGACCAAGATGTGCTACATAAAATACAACATTATTCAGCTTTAAAAAGGAAGGTTCCTGGACTTGCCATTGGAATGAGGAGGGAGATGTCTAGGCTGGCATGTGCATACAGTGAGACAACGAATTTGACCGGATCTGTACTGTCGGAACTCAACCAGGAGTTGGGAGGGGTGCAAGGGGTAGCACTCCAAAATCTTATGACTATAGACTATTTACGGTTAAAAGGACATATGGCAAGTGAACAGATCCCAGAAATGGGCTGCTTTAATTTGTCTGATTTCTC